TTCCCTGGGTGTCCCCCACGTGTATATGAGCTATACATGTTAATAAACATGTTTTCTCTTCTCTCCATCTGTCTTTTGTTACAGGGGCTCAGCTGAGATCTTAAAAGGTAGAGGGAAAATTATTTTTCCTCCTCTGCAGTTGGGAGATCTGTAACCATATACAGGTGTCTTTCCAAGGTGCAGTAGGGAAGCCTATCGGTGTGGTTGTCAGGGGCAGTGTTGAGTGTTGAAGAAGGATGCTGTCTGCTTAGGCCTTGGTGCCTGGGGCAGCAGTGGGAACCACTGACTTTGTTTGCTTGCTTGCTAGAAAAGAAAGCATAAGAGGTGGTTCCCACACTGTTGAACAGAATAATGCTTAAGGCCTGAATTAGCAGAGGCTTTAGAGATGTGAAGGAAAGGACCTACTGGAACCAAAGAAAGAAACTGGATAAACAGAATTTAGATACCTGATGGATTTAAACAGAGAAAAGGTAGAGAGTGCACTCAGGACATGCACACACACACACAGCTTGACTAATGTGGAAGAAAATTTCTAATGTACAGCATAGTGATTCGGTTATACATATATTTACATATTCCTTTTTATATTCTTTTTCAATATGGGCCATACAAGGTATTGAATATAGTCCCCTGTGCTATACAGTAGGACCTTGCTGTTTATCTATTTTATATTAGGGGAGACCAATTTTAATTTGCAAATGGTATAAATGCCAAAATAAAAATCCAAGAGAACCCACTGGAGAGTTTAGGCTTCAAACATTTAACATTATCTCCTCTGGAATATAACCACCTGTTTCCAAAAAGTGCAACTTCATTGTTATGCAAAATTCATTCCCAGCTAGCATCCATAGTCCACCTTCAAATTTCTAAATTTGTTTGCTAGAGGATATTAAGAGTCCTTCGGTCTGTATTTTCACTCTTGGTCAATGGATTATTAATAAAATCACAAACTCTAGCATGTTCTTTTCTTAAAGTTTTGTGTCAAAATGGTTTCATTTCTACAATATGGTCCTTAACAGAAATGAAAGCAGCAGGTCTGTAGTTTGTTGAGCTTTATATCTGCACCCCACCCCCAATCCCTACCCCTTCAAAAGAAAGCTCCCAGATTCGAAAATACAGGTTTCTATTTCAGTGGAAAACCACATTTCCTTGGCTATCTAAGAACTGAAGGGTGTGGGCAACAATGATGCAGTAACATTTGCAGTCACGTGATTTACCAAGCTGAGCTTAGATCGAGAGATAGCTATAGATGTAAAAGTTATCATGGAGAAATTTTCGTTTCCTTTTTCCCTCTCTGAAATGTAAAGTCTAAGGGTTTTAATCCTAAATTTACTTTTATGGCAGTGCAAATCTTGATTTCTAAATATGAATGGGGGAAGGAAAAATCTGTTAAGCAGACAAAAGAGAGAAGGGGAAGGAAAGAGAGAGAATATTCTTCCTCACACCCGGAATAAAAATCCTCAGGTTTTTAACTGTTTCTTAGGGTTTTCATTTCCTTCTGAAGTCTCCTATGTTGTGGAAAACTTACATTAAATGAATTGGTATGCTTTGTTCTTGTTAATTTGTCTTTGTCTTTTTTAATTTTCAGACACAGCAAAAGACCTTAAGAGGTTGGAGGAAATTTTTTTGCTCCCCTTCACTACCTTCCTAAAATAAATTGAGATATTTTTGTTGTTTTTTGTGCTCTGCATCAGTTTATATAATACTATATTGGAATGACAAGGAAGCACACTTGTTATTACTAGAAATATTGTGCTCATTCTAGGACACCCTCCAGCCACCCCAGTAGTCTCTCCCTCCTCAGTGTCCCTAGATTCCAGCCATGAGCTAGATGTCAAAGTCTGCTGCAGGCACTCCAAACATGTTGACTGACACGTTTGGCAATAATTTATTCTGCATTAACCTCAAGAGAAGATACTGCAGGAGAAAATAGTGAGAGAAATGAGAGATCTTGGTAGGAAAAACCTTTTTGTGAAAGAGTGCAAGATGCAGGAGGGGAGAAATTTTGCTTTGATTTGGTTTTGTTTCAAATAACTCGCTATTTTCAAGGAAACAAAATTGAGTAAATGGATAGATGGGTGTTATTGCTTTACTTCTAGGACAGGATAGAATTACTTCTACAACTTTCTTATTCCACCCACACTTTTGGTAACCGTGGTTCTTTCAAAAAACACTATTGCTCTGTGGATTAACCCTATAAATGAACCAGTGGACATCTCCTTGTTAAGAACAAGTCAAATTTGGGAAGTATCCAAGTCAAGAATGGAAGTCATCGAGTTCCTTGACAGCATCCATTCACTCTATTCTTTTTAAACTCACACTATATATGAACTGAATAAACTATTTTTTACTGGGCTTAAGCCAACCTTGCACTTCCAGGAGCACCTTCTGTGAAGATTCCAGGCCATCACTGCCCTTCCTTCAGCATCGCTATCTTTCTTTCAGATTCCTGCCCTCTCCGTTCTCTTTGCTGTTTTCTGTACGAGACGCAGCATCAGCTACCGATTCGAAGTCTTCCTCTCTACCCCACCTCGTGAGTCATTAAAGACTTCGACAGGGCCCACATTAATGAACAACTAACAGATCCTGACATCTATGTATGAGTTTTCTCAGATTTTAGACGGTGTTGTAAATAGTTTTAACTGTTCGTGAACTTAATCTTAAACAAGGAACTATTTAGCTGGATCATCAGAATTAACGGTAGAAAAGCCCCTTCCCCCTCTATCTACATACCTTTTATTCTTTACCGGACAAGCTTCTTCCGTCCGTTGGCCGCGTGGCCTAATGGATAAGGCGTCTGATTCCGGATCAGAAGATTGAGGGTTCGAGTCCCTTCGTGGTCGCTTTTCTTCCTCTTTGCTAGTCTGATTTAGGGTCGGTTTGGAAAAAGCTTGCAAGATGTTTAAAATCTGATTTGCCTCTTTTCCCTTCTTGTTGCTGTCATCTGGTTGTCAGTTCACACATGAAAGTAAAACTGTTATTTAACAAGGGTATGTGGGACCCCGACTGTCTGAAAAGTGCTTTACAAATGAACAAGGAGGAAATAGCACATCCTCAAGGTGCTCACCTTCTACTGGACCCACTGAGAACCTGAAGGCACTTAGTCTTTTCAAAGTTGAAATACTGAACTTTTTTTTTTTTTTTTTTTTTTTTTTTTGGAGATGGGGAAGAGGGACGGGGAGTCACTAAAGAAAAAATCAACTACATGGGACAAGGGTGAGTTAAATTTTTAAATTTCTGGGAACAAGGTCCCTGACTAGGATTCTCTATGACTGTGGCTCTAAATGGTTTGAGACCTGCCTTTTCCAGATTTACATTAGCTACCATAAATCTAACTGCCTCTACCTCCCAAACAGCAATCTCAGAGATAGCCTGAAGGCAGTAGTCACCAAATGCTTCTATTCCAAACTGAACTGTCCCCTGGAGCAACTTCTATGTAGTATTGATAGGTTTAGTTCTAGCAAAAATGCAAATGCCATAAATGGATCTGACAGGAGAGACATTCCTCAAATAATTTTAAAATAGAACTACCATATGATCTAGCAATCCCCTCCTGGCTATATATCCAGAACTGAAAACAGGGACTCAATGAAATATTTACAGTCGTGTTCACTGCAGCATTACTCACAATAGCCAAGAGGTGGAATAAATTCATATATCCTTGGAAGGATAAATGGATAAACAAAATGTGGTATACACCATGGAATATTACTGTCTATAAAAGGAAGGAAATCTTGCCACAGGCTACTACATGGATAAACCTTAAGGATATTATGCTAAGTGAAATAAGATAGTCACAAAAAGACAAATACTATATGATTCTACTTTTACAAATGTTGATGAAAAATTAATCAACAGTCAATCTAAAGAAGAAGAATTGAATTTTATTCAAGCCAACGTGAGGATTATAAATTGGGAGACAGTCTTTCAGAAAACTCCAAGGACTGTTCCACCTTTTTTGAAGTCAGAGATACAGTTACACACACTTTCAAGACAAAGGATCATTAAACTAAACAACACAATGACATTTTACAAAAAGTTCACCAAAGATACATAGTCCAGACCTACAGGTATGAAGCAAGCAGCAGGTCACCATGACCCCTCATAGAATTAGGAAAAGACTGTTATCTTCTAAGGACTACATTGCTGGCATTACTTTCAGAAGAAGGAAAAAAAACATTGATCTTTATGGTTGAGCAGACATTCCTGCCTTTGAGGTCTAGTTAATGTATAGTAATAGATGCACAGTGCACATTAGGGAGGTCCCTGTCAGACAGGGAGTGCAATGCTTAAATTTTCTTGTCCTGCCTTCAAAACATAAATTTTATTCCATCACAAAGTATCTAAAGTAAACCAATTCACAGAAACAGAAAGTAGAACAGTGATTGACATTTCATGGGGTGGGAGGGAATGGGGAGCTGTTTAATGGATAGAGCTTCAATTTTGTAAGATAAAAAGTTCTGAAGATGTGTTTCACAGCACTGAGTATTCCTAAAACTACTGAACAGCACACTTAAAATGGTTGATTTTTTTTAACCACAATGAACAATATAAATATTCACTTAGAAAATCAGTTTGACATAAATGTATGGATTTCTGGATCCTCAATTCTACTATGTTGGTCTACATGTCTGTCCTTATGCCAGTACCATACCATTTTGGTTACTGAATCTTATACTAAGTTTTGAATTCAGAAGTCTGAGTCCTCCACCTTTGTTCTTCTTTTTGAGGATTGTTTTTGTTACTCATATTGCAATTCACCTTGAATTTGGGGAATGGCTTTTTATTTTCTGCAAAAAAAGGATGTTGGAATTTTGATAAGGATTATATTGAATCTGTAGATCACTTTAGGTAGCATTAACATCTTAATTTCTATTTAGGATCATGGGATATCTTTCCATTTATTTGGGTCCTCTTTCATTTCTTTCAGCATGTTTTGTAGATTTCAGTGTACAAGTCTTTCAACTCCTTGGTTAAATTCATTCCCAGGTATTTTATTCTTTTAGATACTATTATAGTTGAAACTGCTTTCTTAATTTTCTTTTTGGATTGTTCATTGTCGATATATAGAAACACAACTGATTTTTGTATATTGACCTTGTACTCTGCAACTTTGCTGAATTCATCTACTAGCTCTAGAAGATACTTTGGGAATTTCCTTGTGGATTCTGTGGGATTTTTCTATATATAAGATCATGTCATCTGTGAATAGAGACAGTATTACTTCCTTTCCAATTTGGATGCATTTGATTGATTTTTCTTCTCTAATTGCTTTGACTAGAACATTCAGTACAATGTTGAATAGCACTGGTGAAACAGGTATCTTATCTCATTCCTGAACTTAGATGAGAGCTTTTTAGTCTTTCAACATTAAGGATGATGTTCATAAATGCCCTCTATCATGTTGAAGGGCATGATATTTTAAGTGGCAGAGTACAGTCTCTTTCATACCTCATGCTCCATGAAAGTGGGACATCTGTAATAGAAATGAATAAAATGTGGTTAAAATAGGAATACTGTTTCATTTCAATAAAATGCTATCTTTCTACATCAAACTTATAAAAAACTGAAGAATACTGGGATGAGTTAACTGAATTATCTACTAAAGAATCCTGGCCTAAAGATGTTTCAACAAGAAATCAGATTTGGAGACTTGTACTATGGCTTTCCTAGGAGCCTTCTGCGGGTGGTCCTTACTCATTTACAGTCAGCCCTCCATATCTACAGGTTCTGCATCTACACGTTCAACCAAACCCATATGAAAAATATTCAGAAAAAAAATTCCAGAAAGTTCCAAAAAGCAAAACTTGAATTTGCCACATGCCAGCAACTGCTTATAGTGTTTAGTCTTATTAGGTATTATAAGTAATTTAGAAATAATTTAAAGTATACAAGAGAATGTGCATAGGTTGTATGCAAATACTATGCCGTTTATTTAAGGGACTTGACCATCCATGAGTTTGGTATATCCGCTGGGGGTCCTGGAACCAACCCATGGATAATGAGGGACAACTGTACATCTACTCATCAATGGAGATATTGGGCCTGTGTTGTGGTTTTTGTTGGGTGCCTTCTGAACCTACTTTCTATGCTGGGTATTCCTCATTTTTTAAAAGTATCTCCATTTTAATTTCAGCTGGAGCTATCCACAATTTAGTTGAATTTTAACTTCACTTTTTAAATCTTAAACATGTTTTACATTGGTTTGTACTGGTTAAGTTGATCATATGATTTCAGTCGCCAGGATGAAATTTACCATTCTAAGGATAGCTTAGTCCTCATTTATTGACATTTTAATTTTTTATTTATTGTAAAAATATGGAACCCTTCACGAATGTATTTAATCCTTGAGCAAGGGTGATGCTAATCTCTGAACCATTCCAACTTTAGTATATATGCTGCAAAGCAAGCACTATTCTGGCATTATTTTACTCACACTTCAAAAGCCACACAGGTCAGATACTCACTCCCTATTACCCTCCAAACAATTTTTAGCTAGTACACAATCATGTGACCTTGGCTAAGTCCATCACATTCAATTACAAGCAAGCTGTCATGTATAAAGACCTAAGGACACGTACAGAATCCATCTCCTGGGAATTGAACACTGGTAGGGACAGTGAAGTCACAATCTTCAGAGAGAACTATGATTATTTCTTTTACAATCTATGGGTTGTCCTAAAGCCCGTCCACCTACTTGCTTTCAAAATTCTTGCTCTACCAAGAGGTCAGTTCTTCCTAAAGGATGAGAAAGCAGTAAGATGGACAGAAGGGTAAAAATCTCTATCAGCAGGTGATCATTAGTTCCTAAATGCAATACCAAAAATGCATGTGATAATAGTTTCCCTCAACTGTAATGAAAGGAGAAAAGTGCAAACCAAGTAATGAAAATTCATCATCTCAAAAATGTCCCCAAATACATTTCCAAACGTAGATTAGAAGGTAGAAATGCCCTGACTTGAGAACCACTCCATATTCACACAGATAAAGTTTATTTGCTGCTTGAATAAACAGAATAGTTTGTTTCAAGTGGTTTGCTTCATAGTTTTCTATAATTAAAAGCTGATTCCTTTTTTTTAAAGGGAGATTCATATTTCTCAGTTTCACTTTAAAAGAAGAAGCATTTATTAGTTTTTACCTCCAGTAGTAAGGAAATGCCATTCACAGATAAGTTGAGAGTATGCTGACTATATTTTATAGAGGAAAGAAACCTTGAGAAGTTTAACACAGTATCATAGTTTTATATGGAACATAATAACACATTAACTAGTACATTGTACTTAAAGATGTTACATTCTGTATTTTAGTTCAAGAGTGAATATTACAAAGCACTATTTTCAAAAGGGAAGTCTCAGAGTGATTGCGCACTTCCAATATTTCATCTACCTCCTGAATTTCAAAGTTTTCAAGTATTTACAGGCTCAAATGAAATATTCTTCATTCTTGCCTAAGAGTCAGGCTGGAGCTTAGAACTGGACACTGGCTGAGACTGGCTCTTTCCTGAAGGATTATGACTGAAAATTTACACTTATCTCTGCTAAACCAAGCTCTAGCCAACTCATCCCCAGACATGCCCTTGATAGATTTGCTGATGCTGAGTGACTGTGGTATAGTAAGAAATATATGTGGTCTTTGCCCTGGGTTCCCGGCACAAAGCTGCTCAAAGTCTTGGGATTTCCCAGTGATAGGGGTGTCATTTGTCAGTTATATAAGATCTCCTTTTAATCTAATGCTAATGAGGTAACTTAGGGTGCTGTCCTTAGATTTCCTTAGAATAAAGCTGGACACCAGAAAGACCAAGAGATTAGGAGGCTGGAAATTTCATTCCACCCACTCACCTCTGAGTAAGGGAAGAGGGGCAGGGGAGCTGCAGATTAAGCTCTATAAAAACTTTTGAGGGGAGGGTATGGCTCAGTGGTAGAGTGTGTGCTTAGCATGACATGAGGTCCTGGGTTCAATACCTAGTACCTCCATTAAAATAAGTACCTAATTGCCTCCCCCCAAAACAAAAGCAAAAAAATAAATTAATTAATTAAAATATTAAACTAAAACTAAAACTAAAAACTTTTGAACAACAAGAGCTGATGAGCTTCCCAGTTGTTAGAGCATCTACATGCCTGGAGGGTGGTGCACCCCAATTTAATAAAAACATAAGTCCTTGCAATTTTTAGAGTGAAATAAAAGAAGTAAATGATGTCTATGACATTTAAGAAAGCAGCAGACAAATAATCTAACAGAAAAAAAGTGGACAAAAGTCCTGAATAAGCATGTTACAAAACGGGATATCCAAAGGGCCAATAAATATCTGAAAAGGTGCTCACCCTCATTAGTAATCAAGAAAATGCATATTAAAACTATAGAGAGATAATACTAGATATTCATGGGAATGGCTAAAATTAAAATGAAAGCCAAAATCAAGTGCTGATGAGATTGCAGAGAGGCTGTAACTATCACATACTGCTGGTAGCACAACCACTTTGGTAAATTATTTGACAATAGCTATTAAGCTGAACATACACACAACCTGTGATCCAGCTCTTCCACTCTTGGTGTGTAGCCTAAAGAAATCCACATATATGTGCACCAAAAGAATGTTCTTAGCAGAATTGTAACGGTTTTTCAAACAACTTGAGACCTTAGATTCTTTGCCCACTATTTTGCCGTTCTGCTGACTTACTACTGAAATTCATGGCTAGCATCACATGCCAGTCTAGTTGAAAAATAGGGCTACCGAGGAACTTGCCCACTGTCCAACTGCTGGGCAGATGCCTCCTCCCAGACCTAATTCCCTTCCCTGAGGATAGCTCACATTCTCTGTCCCACCTGTTCTCCTGGTTCATCCAATTCTTCCTCTAAATCCTCCAGCACAGTTAGCAACTCTTCCCTGCTCTCAGGATGCTGCTCCTGCACCCAGGCTTGGAGCTCCTGGGCAGAATGGCCAGGAACTGCTCAGTATCAGCAGCTCCAGGATCTGAGTGTGTTTCAGGTTCAGCCACTGGTAGTAGAGCTCCCACAGCCTGGAGCCAGCTCAGAGTTGCTGGAGCCCAGGTGTCTCTTGATAGCAAAACTGAAACACTGGCAAAATAGCTCCTTGTTGTGGGGTTCTTCCTTTGAATGTCAGATTCCTGTTTCCAAATATGTTCATCTGCCTCCATTTTCAGGATCACAAATCCCACAGGCTCCCCTGGAACTTGGAAGGACAAACCTTCAGCTTTGCTTGGCTTCATGGTCTGCTGGGTTGAACTAACTCCCACAAAGAAGGTATTAAACTCTCTCCGTTGAGAGATAGTCCTCCTTGAGGTTATATCCACTGTGGCAAGGAAGTAGGAATCTCTGGTAAACAGAACAACTTAAATGTCAGATACATTCTGACTTACAAAATGGCATAAGAAATTACTGTTAGGAAAAAAAATGCTAAAATTATTTACATGCTATCAAATGACAATTTCCAAAGTAATCGTCCGTAAGCAAAGAAAGCCTGTAAGAGACAACAAAATCACAAATTTAAATTCCCAGATAATGAAAGATTCTTGCTTTTCCTGCTTCCCAAAGAATTAAGCTGCCCCTTCATCTGTGATTCCACAGCATTTGTTCACCGCCTCCACGGTAATTGCCAGATGATGGTGGTACTAAACGTTTATACGTCTATCTCCACCACAAGAGCTGATTTCCCTCCTCCTATATAATAATCTCACACTTAAACAGGCCCTTAGAGTTAACGAAGTGTTTTCACAAACACAGGATGTCACAACAAAACAGGGTGAAAACTGAAAAGACAAATAAACTGTAATTTCAAATAACTCTAGGGCTCCGAAAAAGAATAATCAGTAACATCTTCTCTTGTTTAAACTTCTCCCATGTGGCAGAGCCCGCGAGCCCCTGCGAGAGCGCGCAGCCCAGCCGTGAAGCTGGTGGTCCGCGTGGGCCCGAGTCTGACCTGTGCTGAGGACCAGCAAGGGGTCCAAGAGCGCCAGAGCAGAAAAGTGGGTCCGGACCTGGGGTTCCAATGGGTCCGCACAGCTGCTCCTTCCGCGGAACCCAGGGACCATCTCACTCCTGAGTCACCCCAACCTTCCAGCCTGAGAGTCCCACCTTCTGACCCCGAGCTCCAAAACCGGGAGCTAAACTTTAACTACTACCTAACCCTAAAGGCGTGTCCTAGAGCGAGCCTAGCCTACAACGGCCAAGGTTACTTCCGGGTCCTCTCTAGGACACTGGAGGTCTCGCCTTCTCAGTGGTTCCTCCAGCTTCAGTTTCCTGCGCCCAGAAGAGAAAAGCAGCCAAAACTTTCAAATTCACTCCTCACATCCACCAGATACTAACGACTCTATATATATATAGCACTATGTATATATATAGCACGGGGCGCTATATTCAATATCTTGTAGTAACCTGTAATGAAAAAGAATATGGAAAGGAATATATGTATGTACACATATGACTGAAACATGCTGTACACCAGAAATCGACACATTGTAAACTGACTATACTTCAAATAAGAAATAAAAAAATTGAAAATTGAAAATTAAATAAAATTTAAAGTAGTTTGTTAAAATTCTGTAATTGTGTTTTTGTTTGTTGCTTTAACTAAAACTAACCTTTTAAAATCCAATATCATTGTCATATAAAAAAGTCATTTATGATAGCACACTTGCGTCTTTTTTCTTCTAGAAATTTTCAAGGGAAACATCTGCTATCTCCTCTCCTTCATAGTTCTCCAAAGAAACTACAGATTCTTCCAGAATCTTTTTTTAATTGAAGTATATTCTAATTGAAATATATATTTTTAATGAAGTACTTGAAACCATGTGGTTCCGGCCATCTGAATGTAGAATGTAGCTCTTCAAGTGAAACAACGGGATCTTGTCTGTAGTGAATGTCTCCTGAGAATTCAGTTGTCAAATCAGCTTTCTTTTTACCTACCCAGGTTCTCAGTTTGACCACTAGGATAAAAATCAATAATTAAATGAGTACATTCATGAGTAGTCATAATGACAGAGCAATACATGAAAATGTAGATATGAATCATCATCAATAGCTGACATTAAACACTTATTCTCAAGATTCAGGATGTAGATTCTTCTACTGAAAGACAGGGAAATCTTGGAATGTGGTGTTCCTGAGGCAGAACCAAAGTCATTGACTGGAATATAGGCAACACAAGGAAATACATTGATTTTACTGTTTTTTAAATTAAATTAAAATTTTAATTCTATCCTATTCTGCCCTATTGTATTATATTTTTATATTTTTACTGCCACAGCCCCAGGGTTACATCCCTTGGTACATAATAAGTACTCACTAAATATTTGTTAGTTGAATGGTAATTAGAAATATCCTAAAGGTTCAGGGGGAAAAAAAGTGGATAAATGAAATAGGAGATTTCTATCCTGTGGAATGATTTGCAACATTTCCTTTGTAAGGAAAAAGATTAAGTGTTCACATAGAAAGAGCCCGATATATATTAAGTGATAAAATGTATCAGAGAATAGTATGTTTGTTATGATTGCATTTCTGTAAAAACAAATGAAATATTTATGAACATATTTACGTGAATGCAGAGAAAAATAGAAGTGTAAGAAATACAGTAAAATATTGATAGTGGCTACATTTGGAAGAGGAAAGTACCGCTTTCATATTTTATTCAGGAGTTAAAATGGTACTCAAATTTGACTGAGGAAACAAAACAATAATTATCAGATGCCAACGTGAGTGTGAAGGTACATAATTTACAAGGGAAATGTTTGAGAACCAGTTCCATGACTTTTGAAAATGGAGAAGATAGCAGAGGATCTATATAAGATTTTTTTACAGACAGCACTGTCATTGCCAGAAGGCAGTGGCACTAGCCGGCAAGAAAGTACTACAGGAAGTATTCATGGGAGGGCTTGGGTCTGGGACAATGCAAGTAAGCAGGATATAAAGTCAAGCAGAGTACCGCTGCATCGGTCCCTTTCTCCTCCGACACCAAAGGGGAGGGAACTATTGGGGTCCCAAATCTAGCTGCTTCTAGATTATCTTGCGATGCCTCAGAGAACCCAACCTCTTGTAATCTCCTCTATTGAACAATTTAGCTCCAAATTTCGTGGCTTCTAAAAAATATCGCGATGATTCCGCTTTTAATATTGTCGGTGTTAACAGTCCCTGCCAGAAATTTTTTAAAGTCAGTTTTTAATACTATAGGTCCGCATATTCCTTATGCACATTGCTCTTATCAATATGCTTGTTTTGAAATTAGGGGAAGGGAAAAAAAAGGAATGTGTCAGAAGTGGGATTCGAACCCACGCCTCCATACGGAGACCAGAATCCCCAACGCGGGGAAGCGTAGCTTGAGTCTGGCGCCTTAGACCACTCGGCCATCCTGACACCTAGCGGAAAGGGCGAGATTTTCCACTGAAATAGATCGAAGCAGCAGCATCTCTGTGACGTAAACGCAAAGAAACGGTTGGTGTCCGGGTCAACAGGGTAACGGCCAGAGAATCAAAAAGCCACCTGTGGATTGAAAGGGAAGACTTCGAAGGAAGGGAGAAAAATGTTTATGTATAAAACTGGACACAGGTCTCTTGTGGGCCTTTCGACTGTCACTCCCATCTCGAGAAGGTAGTGCGAACATTTCCTGTGCCCAAACAGCTCATATTTCGGGAGGGAAGAAAAGAAAGAACATCTTTTAGCACAGGTCTCTGGGTGGGTTTTCTAGCCTCCAATCCTCACTGAAATCTTGAGCGTGGTTAGCCTCGCTCTAGGGTTTCTGTCTTTTGAAGAGCGTGAGGAACACCACCAATAATCTAACAGACCCACATTCTATGGCATGGCCCCTTCTATCCCCTCTAGGTTCCTTTTCGTCCCCAGATCTGCACTGTCACTCGAGAAGTTTCTTTTGGGCTCCGAAAGTGACAGTTGAGGAATAGCCTGGGAAAATCCATGTGGGGCACGGCAGCTCCCGCGAGTGTAGACTTAAGGACAGTCTCTGCCCCAGGGGACTGACCTGTCCCAGGTCCACAGAAACGACCGGAGCGACACGCTTACCTCCCGACCTTCCCGGTCACCCTCAGATATTCCGGATTCAGAGTCTCCATGGCGTCCATTGCCTGTTCGTGGACAACAGTGGCTATTTTTAAGAGGGATGAAAGTAAGGGGGACACGCCACATCTCCTGACTCAAGACTTTTCCAGATGCTTCTCGGCTTTGTGCAAAATAACCTGAACTCTGAGTCTTGAAATTCACATTATTTTAATGAAGTCCCAAGACTAAACAGTAAGAAATTACTCCTCCAACTAGACTGAGAGCCCTTAGAGGTCAGGTAGATGGCGCTAAAATAACCTTCCTAGGCCCAGTGCCTGCCCAGGATGGTGCCTGGACTTCATGGTAGGAAATCAAGAAATTTATTTGACTCACTTGCTTCAGCTGCTGTATTTGGGCTGTGAGTTTCAGAGAGTAGAAACAGGTTTGGAAATTTTTAGTAGATTTTGTACCGAGAAAGGTTTTCCTTTTTCTTTGTGTAAGGTAAAGTTTAGGTCTCTTTCCTGCATGAAGAGACAGTCTGAATTTCAGCAGAACCTATCTTAGATTCTTAGACTCTTGGTGTCATATGTTATTTTTGGTAGTTAAAAAGAAAATGGGGAGTGGGAAGTAAGGGAACAATGGTTTCCTAATTTCCCTCCCCTCAAGATTAGAGATTTGCTCTATTTTGTTTTATAAGCTATAGTTGTTCCAAAAGTGATTCCCGACATAGCAATTGTAGCCTCTTCAAAGTTTATATTTTTTTCTAATGGCAAAGTACTGCAGATATCCCATAGCAAATGGATATTGCTGAATGTAAGATTATTTCTAATTTTTCATTTTCCTGAGAAATACTCTAAAGAATATCCTTGTGTAGAAAGATATTTTCAAATATCCATAATTATTTTCTTAAATTTCTACAAGTGGAATCACTAGACCAAAGTTTACCCAGTTTTAAAAGCTTATGATACACTGTCCAATTGCCTACCAAAAAATTTTGAAGCAATTTAGATAATCCAAAGTTGACCAACAGAATACTATCAGACAATAACAACAAAACATTTTACTGGGTAAAAAATGCTAAGGTATTGTTATATAGCTTTATTAGTGAGGTTGAACATTCTTGTTTAAAGGATTTTTATATTCTTCTGTAAATTGCTTACCAAATTTTTGAGGTGTTTGTCTTTCCTTATCGACTTGTAAAATTCATTACATGAAAAATAAACCCTTGTGATGTATTTTACTTACCAGGAATCCAGGCAGAAATTCTTTTTACTAACAAGAATCCCATTAAGCCCCTTAAAACATTTAGTCAATTTCCATTTCATAGAAACTGTGAGCTATAAAATTGTAAGGTTCCCATGTCAATCTTTAAAAACCAAACTGTGGCCCACATTTAGTGTTCTTATAATGTTATCGTGCTAAAATTCACTTTTAGTCCTGGTCATTTTTCTGTCCCATCCTTATTTCTTATTCTTCCTTCATGGCATGTTAAACTCCTGCAGACCCTAGAGTAGATAGTTACTGGTAAAAGTAGGTACCACAGGTAGACTGGCCCTCCAAGGCTTGTCTCTGATCTTCATCCCACATGGAAAAGCATAATCCATATATATTGTGAGGCAGGATATGACATGTGGTCACGTATTCCATCTCAGTTTGAATCCTGGCTCTACTTTCTAGCTGTGTACCTTGGATAAGTCATTACCCTCTCTGTGCTTCAGTTTCCTCATCTGTAAAATAAGGGCAATAGTACCCACTTTGTAGGATTGTTGAGCATTAAACAACTCATTGTGCATAAAGCACTTTATACCATGTATTGCTGTGCGGTAGTACTTTACATACACACGTTATACATATTTCTATCTATTGAGAGTGTTCAGGAAAAGCTAACCTAGCCTCAAAGGTCCTCTCTTTAGCTCCTGGTTATTTCTCTTAAAATCTGATGGTGGGGAGGGTATAGCTCAGTGGTAGAGTGCATGCTTAGCATGCATAAGGTCCATTTAGAGAAAAAAAAAGGAAATGAACAAATGAAATCTAATTACCCCCACACACCACCACCACCACCGAAAAACCCTGATGAACAAATGAATGAATTAGGACACATCACCAATTCATGACCTTCAGCCATGGACCCTCAATGCTGTGTACAAGACTAAATAAGATCATAAATCTTGTCTTCTGAGGTCATGTCCAGAAGCAGAAAAGATCCAAATCCCCTGGAATGGAGCTGTTCTCTCAGCCTGATCTTTCCTCCTCAGCACCTGGTGACCTCCATGCCCCCAAGGGCTTAGGCTGGTGGTTCTGAGTTGGGAACCAAGTTCTGGGCCCTTTGATTTACACCAAAAATGGCTGCATTACCTCACTGTCAGTTATAAAAAGGACTTGAAAGAACACTTTCTTAGTGAAGTAACAGAATTAGTTGATACAAAGCTGTAGGCTGTGGTTGTCCAACACTACTTTCTCAGCACCATTAGAAAGCAGTGACACAGTACTGTTTTATCAACCAGTTCGAAGCAAAATATTGGCCAGAATGGGATTCTGGACCCATAGGGGAAATCAATACCATTAACCACCACACCCCCCACCAACATCTATGAATCCAATCCCACCAAGACCCAGAAAACAACGATGTAAACATCCATACTCACTTTATTTTCTAATAGAGAGGGATGTACTCAAAGTAGGACTAAGAACCATCACTGGGGCTTGCTCAGAGACCTGCCTTAGCCTTCTGACCTCAGGATGCCTCGTGATCCAATGGCCATGGGGATGGAACTGCCCCTTGATGGTACACATATTAAAAGGTAAATTCCCCCATTCCTCAAATGAGATGGGAGGAGACAAAAGTCCCTGGAATACTGACTGCCCCAGAATCCTTCCAGGGATAGTGTATGACTGACCGTCAGTCCATGAATGTGTGTGGGAGGGGATCTAGGGACACTGGATGGTGCTGGGCAGAAAATTCACCTTGGATGATGTGCAGCCAGCACTAGGACACACCTTTCATTAGAATGAAGGGAGCTGACAAAGCCCTCAGAAAAAGACAGAGGCAAAGAGCACATTGATTAGAACATTATCTCAGAGGTGGGGCCGTTTCCCACCATTATTGTAAAATAACTGTAACTAATCAAAAGACATAGGAGGCCTCTTTAATGGAGTTAATAAAACTATGGCAGATTGGGAATCGGGGTAGAGGTACTATTCCCAGAAGGAAAAACTGGGATAAAGGGGGCCATGCTGACAGGACTTTGCAGCTCTGCTCTAGGTTCTCAAAAGCCTCAGTCCAGAAATGACAGCAAATACCCACGATCACAATGTGGGGCTGAGCCAAGGTCTACATATCTTGCATGGCTCTCCAAACCCAAGATTACTTATATTCTTTATCCCCTCCAGTAATGTGTGAGACCAAAAAGTGTGAAACACTGGAGGTGGGCATCTGGTTTTTATTTCTGGGCAATCTGGATACTTGTCTTTACATGCCCCAGTTTTTGTGAGAAGGGAAAGGACGGCAGAGAACACAGACATCCTGTCTTGCGCTGCAGGGGCATGGGATGTGGTGAGGGTATCCAGCTGTGACGGGCAGGAAGCAGCAAGGCAACAAGATGCCCTCTGCCTGGGGTAGGGTTACGGCCAACAGCCCTTTTGGCCTGAGTTCAAGGGGAGGTCTCCATGGAATGACCATGATTCCCAACATGGCCAGAAAACCCATCGATCCCACTCATGGGGCAGATGATCAGAGGGGCTGCGCTCTTCCCTCCCGAGTAACTCAGACTGAAGTAGGGCCGGACAGGCCCACAGAAGGTAGCATGAGAGAAAGTAAAGGTGTGACACCTCTCTGTCACATTGTAGAAGGAGACCTCGCCAGCATCATAGTCCAAGAAAATCCCCACCCGTTGGAGTGGGGTCCGCAGGGGGAGGGCAGTCATCGGGGAGGTAAGAGCCCAGTATTCTTTCCCATACCACAACGACACTGCCCAGAATCCATTCTGGGGGGCCGAGGTCACTCCGCCTTTTCTGCACACTGAGTCTTCACAGACACCTATGGTCCACTTGGCTTTATCTCCCACCTCCACCTCCCAATAATGTCTCCCAGCGATGAAGCATGGAGAGCCCAAGACACAGGGAAACAGATTGAACCGCTCAGGGTTGTCGGGCAGGTCCTGCTGGAGGTAACTGTACCGCACTTGTCGCAGGTTATCAGAGAGGATCAGGCTAGGGTAGGCGGTGTCTGGATCCAGAGTCACATCCACTGCAGAGAAACAGAGGGGCAGGGAGGTTCAGCTGAGGGCCAGGAGAGCCCACTCCAGAACACCCAGCTTCTCTCCTCCTACCTCCCTAAGAAAAGAATAAGAGCTTTCCAAATGAGGCGCATTCACCTTACAACGAAATACGTCCTGAAGGTGAAATTCCAAGAATTACTGTTTGGATTAGCCAGTTATCTTTTAGCCACGATACACTGAAAGTACTGAAATTTTACCTTCATTGCTTTCTTTCATATCTTAAACCACAATATCCATTACAGACTGAATTTGAGGTTTTCTTACATGTATGTCCAATCCCTTAATCTGAAAGCCTCAGGGACCAGAAGTTTCACAGAATTGAAGATAATACAGAATTTAGACAGGCAGGGTGTGGTACAGCACTGTACAACCAAGTATCAATAGATCTGCTGCAAAACATATGAATGTTCACATTACGTGGGATAGAGGCACTAAATAGTCTCATATGCATCTTATAACCACGTGATTTCATTTTAAAAATCACTGATCCACATTCTCTCATTTGTTCTTCACATCTTGTTCAAGAGGAAGATTCCCAAACATTAACCCTCTGCACCAAAGCTCGGGCAGGCTGACTCCCACAAAAGGTTCATGGTGGTTGACTGGTGGAGGTGACCAAGAACCCCAGATACTGGGTTTCTGGTTCATCCATCTGCTCACAACAGTTGCCCATTTTTTTCTCATGGCATGGGTATACCTCATACCTCCAACCACACATTTAACTCCAAGGGAAGGACAGTGTCTTACACCCTTTCATTCCCTCTACATTACCCTACACAGTATTTTTTAAAAAGTAGGACATAAGCAAGGTATTCAATTAATATTCATTGAAAGAATTAAACGTGGATCACAGCCAGGAGACATCAACGAAAGCAGACCTGTTTGTATGTAGAGTCCCTCTGTTCATGAAGAGGATCCCATGAAACAATAGGCAGTCATGTTACTATAAAAAGTACACACCTGATTTGAGTACCTCTGAGGTCACAAGATTTCCCTGGCCTCTGGGGACCTTAAGTGAAAGGTGTTGGTCAAGGGGAGGGAGAGTTCTAACTCCTGCTCTGAGACACAGAGAAGGGATGACACAAGATTCCTCCAAGATTCTCCCTAGCACTCAGAATAAGAGTTGAGCTCAATCACTCTTTCTGGAAGGATGACTGCCTTTTGTAAACCACACACTGCCCCTGAGGCTAGGTGGACAGAGCAGTGAAACAGCGTATTAGCAGTGCTCTACTTTTTGGGAAGTGGAGTTTCCACTCTAGGATCCTTCATAGCATCTGAGTTTGCCTTCCTATTTCAAAGGTCCATGGTTTCAGCTCTGAGGCATTTTAGGAGGCAAAGATACTGTAAACACACAGAAACAACCAATGTATTCCTGTGATTGTTGTTTATCATTTTTTATAAGTGTAACTTAAAGAATCCCAATTTAGGCAAGTTCCAAAATCATGCACAGTAGTAGTTAGGTTCATAAGGATTTTTACTCCTTTTCCAAATGGTTTTGTCTCCCACCACTTACCTGAATATAACTGAGCCTCCCTCAATTCTGAAAGAACAAAAGAGAAAAGAAGTTATGGAAAGCATCTGAGAATTTCTAGGGAAAACCTAACTGAGGTAGCTTGGGTTGGAGTCATCATAAAGAAATGGTTTCCATTCGACACCCCAGAACCCCTGTTGTCAGTCATGCACCAATTCCTTCCCACTGTTTATGACTCTTATCATCCAGCCAACAGCTTCAAGGGAAGAGAGATTGGGAACTTTGGGCAGAAGGATAACCACATGCCCGAGATTGGTAGCATACGGGGTCAAACTGAGCCAAGATCAAGGATTCCACCCCACAGTGAGCCAGCTGGCTCTGTGAGGGGAAAGACGGCTCCAAGTCTTCATCATACATACTCTTGGCTTTCATAAACCATCTCTGTTCTGGGGGGCTGGGTGTTTCAAGTGACACCTGCTACCACACTGGGGCAAACAAGGCCATTCACTGTAAAACACATTTATGGTTGACAAAGCATTTTCACAGCTATGTTCTCAGTGAGCCTTTGAAGTGGCAGGAGAGGAGCAGGAGAAATAAATGAATCAGATCAAGGAATGTCATGTCTGAGCTAACCACTCCTGGTATCATCCACTGTATTAAATGGAGTTTCTCCCTGTTTGGCTTGTGGAGGACATGAGAGCATCCCCTAAATCTATGTTGCTAGATGCCAACAAAGCATGTATCTGAAAAGATACAACATAAAGTTTTAGCATATGTAAGACATTATCAGAGATTATGGGGATGTGTAATCTGTAACAAGTAAGGAAAGGGTTTACCTACACAGAATAATCTCAGACTCTACCAGACTACCTAGGGATCTTAGCATTTAGTATATAGCCAACTCCTAACTGAATGTGGCTCATGAACATAAAACTGTATTTGTAAGAACTTCCCTTAAATACCTAGAATATCATATTTCATAAACATAAATATAGGGGTTACTACGTGTCCCATTTCATTCTAAAGACTTTAGAAACAGCATCTAATTCAACTTAATCCTTACAACCTTGTAAGGTGAGAGCTATTATTTTCCTCATTTCACAGGTAAGGAAATTACAGTGTAGGATCCTTATCAGGTGACAGAGCTGGACCTGGGACCCAGGCAGCTGGACTCCTGAATCTCTGTTCCTGACCCCTTCCCTGGAGGTGCTGCCTCAGTCGGCACCACCTGATTCCTCCTGTCCTGGTCAGCACCAGTGCACAACCATCAGGAACTCGATCAATTATAACTACAAACACAATTACAGCTCAAATGTTATGGAGCTAGGATAGCTTCTGTTGATTGTCTTTCTCAATTAAAAAATAATTTTAGGGGGAGGGTATAACTCAAGTGGTAGAGAGTATGTTTAGCATTCATGAGATCCTGGGTTCAATCGCCAGTCCTTCCTGTGAGAATAAATAAATAAACTGAATTACCTCCCCCAACCAAAAAAAATTTTTTTTAAATACTCAAACTAATTCTGGATTAATTTTTTATTGGACTACCCATTTTTCTCCTTCATTAATGTAGATTGAAAAATGAATGCATATAGTTAAAAGACTTCAAGCTGAAACAAGAGGCCATTAATTGAAAAGAATTAACAAAGCAATAAGGAAGATGTAAATTCAGGAAAGGCTGGCCGCTGGGTATCATCCCTTTCCCATGTTCCCACACTTTAGTGCAGATGTTTGTCTCTCCAGGAAACTTCAACATCAAAAGCCCGTTAAGCAGACAAATTTACCTTGGATTTTCTCCATATCTGACTGCATTTTTTCTAAGGGGAGAAAAGAAGATATTCAGCTTGCATCCCACTATTTGGCTGGAAAATACATCATAGGCAATACACAGATATTCAGAGGATAAATCCATGTCCCCTCATGGACCCCTTCTTTCCCATTACCTGTGAACTGCTTCAGACTCTCAGTCAAGAACAGACATTTCTGGGCAAAAATGTGGATTTTCTCCTGTAGATCTGGAGGTGTGATCCAGGGTTCAGGGATTCTGATTCGCTCAGCCCTAAGTTTTAATTAAAAAAATAAAAGAGTGAATCCGTCTCCCAACTCTACAAACTTTCAAGGTCCAGGACACAGCCTGGGTTAAACTGGCTGACACAGGCAGAGACAGTCTTTAATTCTCCTCCTAGACTATGATCCTTGAGACCGAAACAGGAGAGACATCTTATTTGTATACCCTCAAAACACTAACTAGCATATGGTTTTTCAAGTGGTCTGTCCTCAAAAAGGTCTACTGAATTAAATTATATGTAAGGCTGACCTTGCCAGATTCCATGACAAAGTCCTTGATATTTATGGTGGGCAATGACCCAGAATTCACAGGTGCCCAAATACAGTGAGAATGACACCTTCAAACAGACAGGTACTCTCTGGACAATACCGTTACCCACCACCTGCCACAAAGGGTCTATGGCAAAGACTGATTGCTAGTTACCCACCCAACATCCTTTCTTTCATCTTCTAAATTTTACTGGGTTCATGCCTGCGCCGTCTGGATGTGACTTTGTGACTGAGTTCTGGCCAGTGAGAGGTTAAGAAGTATCTTGTGGTAATCTGAAGTCTGTTTAAAAAGGAATGTGATGTGACTAATCTTCCTCTTGCTGGTTGGCATTCTGGCAACTACCTTGGACTGTTAAGAATGAGGATCATACCTTACGAGTGGCAGAAGTATAAATGGAAAGGAACCCGAGAGACCTTTTAATGATCACTGAAGCCACCATACCAGCCCCAGGCTACCTTCTTACACCTTTCTTTAATGGTTATAAATTTTTTTTATTACGTTTAAGCTTTAAGCCAATGAAATTTTAGGCTTCCTGCCTCATAGAACCTAACTCAAGGTTTAAAGTCACAAAATGATAGGATCTAAAGGATCTATCTCCCTGTTAGTTCAGAACCAGACTGGTATCAAACAGTAAAAGCAGCAAGTGAAAGCAGTATTTGTTGCGGTCACTCGGCAGGGATTGCTACAGGCTGCAACTCATTTCCATCCTAGGGGTCCTCAAAACCTGAGTTCTATCAACCTAATTCTATCCACAAAGCCCTCGCAGCCAACCTACCCCATCTAGGAGGCCCTCCACCATTTTCCTCAAATGCTCCCAGAAAATCAAGCTGCATTTCCTCTGGAGGGTTTTCACCTTTCAGGATCTGAATCAGCTTCAAAGTTCAGCTCCCTCAAAGTCAGTCTCCAACCCAGTAGGCACTCCTGCACCAAACATTACGTTCCCAAGACCCATCCCATTCGTCCTCGCAACACAACTTAAGTCTGGGCTTCTTGCTCATTCTGAGCTCTCCCTTCTCTGTCATGTCCCAACTCCCAGGTGCTCTTCTTCACTTTCCATCTGATGATACAGTAGTGAAATAATGGGAACAAGAGCCAGAAGCCAGGGAACTCATCAGTAATTATATAACTCTGAGCTGGTCTCGCTTTTCTTAAACCATATTTGCCCCATTACAGAAAAAGAAAGAAAGAGAGAGGGAGAGAATATGAAAGAGAGAGAATTCTGAAATGCTTAGGAAGCAAAAACCATAAAACATCCTTGCACTTTGCCCAAGTCCCTCCAAATCTCCACCCTTGCCATGGAAGTGTCCTCATAACCACCAGCACCCTTCCAAATGAGCCCCTGCTCCACCCCGACACCCTCATAACTGTCAATAAGTCCTCAGTTTTACTGGGAAAGAGCTGTGGTCCATCTAGTTCTTTGCTCAATAGTGACTCAGTTGAGGGACAGGCAGGATGTGTGGCAATTTGGTAAGAAGTCCTCAGTTTTTGGGTTCCTTTCAGGATTTCTAAGTGTGAAGGAAACAGTCTTCTTGTGCTTGGTTTATCAATGGGGAGAGAGAAAACTGTACCTGCTCAATGTGTCCCCGATGTCCTACAAGAGAAAGGAAAAGGATAACCATGAGAAATCATTCATAACTTCAGTCTTCTTTCATGAGTGTTTGGTGAAAACCCAACTATGGGGTGGCCCTCCTGAGTTCTGGCCAGTGAGAGGCAGGAAGTGTCTTGTGGTAATTTGAGAAGTCTGTTTAAAAATGAATGTGATGTGACCTATCTCCTTCCTGCTGATCCGTATGCTAGCAACTTGGACTGTTAAGAATGAGGACCATACCTCCCTGGGAGAAACCAAGGAGACAAGGAACACAACTCACAGTTGGGGAGCTAAAAACTCGGCAGAGGAAACTGGGATGCACACTATTTGCTATACCTAACACTTCCTAGGTCCTCCTCCTGCACACTTGTCAAGGATCATGATTTCAGATTTACTCACAGAAGTATCCCACCTTTGGATCACAACTGCCTACCTGTCCAGCTTGCTTCCTTTGATTTATTATTGTGAAATAATTTCAAATACACAGAAAAGCTGCTGGTACAAACAGCTCCTGTATACTCTTTCCCCAAACTTATAAACATATTTATCTTCAGAACCATTTGAGAGAGTACTGTTTCCATTATATCCCTTACTTCTTTAAAATTCTCTAAGAACAAGTACATTTTCATATATAACTATAACATAGTTAGCAAATCTATTCCATATTCTAATTTAAACAATTGTCTTAATAATGTTCTTTAAAACCATTCCCCTCCTCACTTCGGTAATCCAGGAGCATTCATTGCATTTAGGTATCATGGCATGTGTCTGTAATCTGGAATGACTCCTTAGCATTGACTGTCTTTCATGACATTGACACTGGTTTAATACAAGGCTAGTTATTTATAGAATGCCCCTCCATTTGGGTTTGTCAGATACTCCCCACTGAATGAGTAAATTCATGCTGTACCATCTTTGACTAGTGTATGCTGTTTCCTCCTAAAGGTACCTTTTATTCACTTGTCTCTTATTGGTGTCATTTTGATCATTGTACAATTACTTTTTTTAGTAATTAATAAGTAATCTAAAAGTGTTACTTTGTGGGGTGCCTATAGCTCAGTGGTAGAGTGCATGCTTAGCATGCACTAGGTCCTAGGTTCAATCTCTAGTGATACTTTGAAATTTTGTTAACATTCCAATTCTTATCAAATCCCCTTTCCCCTTAGATTTATTATCTCTTGATCATTACTGTCTCACTTTTACTACGATAGTTGCCAAATGGTCATTTTCTAGTTTCAAAATTCCTTCTATATTACTTAGCCAACATTTTAATAGAAGAATTTCCCCTTTTCATTCAGTATCGATTCACAGATTCGTACCGTTTATTTGAGACAGTGCAATTGAGTGACCCAAGCTGTATCAACCAGAGCCTCAACTGTACATGTTTCTCCTCCAGTACAGAGCCTGGAAAGCCGCTGCTGCTCCCAGAGCTGACAGGGGACGAGGGGGCCCTGGATACTACTTGGCAAAGAGAGAAGGGAGACGTCTTAGCAGGGGGCCTGGCCGGGGGCTCTAGGCCTTACCTGCAGGAGCTCCCTGGTGGGCTGCTGCTGCTTCTCTTCCAGCTGGGCAATCAGGTTGCTGAGGTGGGAGATGTTGCAAGAGAACTGGGTGATGGCACCATTGATACTGTTGTAGATGGCCAAGTCTAGCTCCTCGAGGCGGGCCAGTAGGCGATACTCATGCTCCTTCAAGGAATGATAGAGCTGCTCAAACTCCCAAACGATCTTCTCCCTCTCCATCTGGGTCAGGCTCTGTGTGGATAGCAGGGCAGGGCAGTGAAGAGAGGAAAGGCTACTTCAGGAGCCCTTCCCATTCCTCCCCTGACTACCCACCCCACGACCTCATCATTTCATCCCAGTATACTAAAACAAGCATCCTGTCCACACACTCATTCTTCCAGTCTTTACTGACTGGATATATAATGGCTGAGAACTGAATCACCCCAGTGACAACCAAGACACAGTCCCTGCCCTCAAGGAACTTAGTCAGGAATTACATGATACACAATCATGGATGGATAAGCAAAGCAGGGTGACAGCCTGTGGTGGGAGAAGTTAATACAGTCATCACAGAAGCAATGTTCACAGAGTCTTGGAGGATGAACAGGCGTCTACCACATGGTCCAAGAGCAGGAGAGTTTTCCAGGTAGGAGAAATGGTATGGGCAAAGGAGTGAGAAGGCAAGCAGTTGTGTCCAGCTGGAGTACATGAATGCTGAGGGCAGAGGCCAGAAGAAACCAGAAAACACTTTGCCTGGCAGGCTAAGGGGCAAGGAATCTGTTGTAACTGGGAGCCATGAAACACTGTCAAAAAAGTGACATGGTCGGATGTGTGCCCTGTGGAGGACGACTTGGAACATGCATCATTTCTACAATAATCCTCACATAATAACCTTGACAGGTTCCCTTAAACCCTTCACATGCAATCCATTCCCTCTGTCTGGCCTTCAAGGGTGTGTATCACCAACCCCGTCTCACTGGCTTTGAATGTGATGCTCTGTTGGTACAGA